GTCATATATGGTTACATATTATTAATCATGTAGGAGCATATGGACTTACATGTTCTGCCAAGTAAGTTTGTAATTTTTACCACTATAGTATTGTGAAACTTTATTATGAAATAAAATTACATGTAAATCATTGTTGCCTAGGATAAATGGGTTAGAATTAGAAATTGTATTATATTTAGATATTTGTTTTGGTAGAAGAATTGTATAGGCTGATAATTAATGACAATACATTTTCTCACAATTGAGATGTTCAAAATTTGGGGTTGAACCAATAATTTGCAATTCTTGCACCTTGATAATTTTGTGCATTACCTTTGACATTACCATGGAATCCTGATTTTTTTTTTTTTTTTGGAACATTAACAATTACAGACAATCAATGATGTTCTTTTTGCGGTTGTGTCGTCTGGGATATCAAGATACTTAGATCATCGGTCACCAAATGGTAACAATTGTTTTCGCAACTAAGATTTGTTTTCTACTTTATAACTGAAAACTGTTGACATCAGATAATGACTGCTTACTGATTTGAGTTTAATTGTTACTGTTAGCCTTGCAGGAAGGTCTGCGTATAACAGGGGAAGCCATGGTTAACATACGAAAACAACGACAGTTAGAGGTTTGTTGCAGCGTCCTTAGTTCTCATATATACCATGTTTTTGTTTCAAGTACTGTGCATTTTCATTTTTCTTTTTGCTTTTGAAAGAAGTTATAATGCCTCAAATCTTAAGTTTGTAAAGACTCGTAGGCATTGGTTGGTCGTTTCAATCTCAAAATTTATCTCATCTCATGGGAATTTCTGTTTCTTCTCAGGATCTATCTGATTTGATAAAAAACAACTCCTCATCACGGTGGGGTAACAAATTCGGCGTGATTCTCCTTCCTATTTACTATCACAAACGCAATGATGACCCTTTACAGTATCTGAAGAGAGCAAAGAAGATGGTGGACCTTAAGAAGCATTCATTGGAGGCTCACTTCTCATACAAGACTGGGGATCTTGTGATGTCCTGGTTAGGACCAAAGGTGGGGGAGACGTGACTGATGCCAAATCTTGAAATCTGCATCCTCCCATGCTCATGCTCTTCGTTTCTGATTCATTACCAACCGTTTTTATTGCAGTATGCTAGCCTGCTTAACTACAGGATTGTCTGTAATACTACCTTTACAATCTCGAATGTGGTTGGTCCTCAAGAGGAGATAACACTTGCCGGCAACCCAATAGATTACATTAGAGTCAATACGTCCAGCTTGCCCCATGTACAGCTCTTCTTCTTTGAATTTGTTAAGAAAATTGCGTATTTGATGTTGAATGGACTTTGTATAATGTTGGGGCTTTTGTTGGCATTGCAGGCACTCACTATGCACATGATGAGCTATGCAGGTAGGGCTGATATACAAGTGTTGGTGGCCAAAGATATTATTCCTGATCCTGAGTTTTTGGCCACGTGCTTCGAAAATGCCTTGATTGAAATGAAGGAGGCAGCTCTCGCAACTGTTAAAAAATAGAAGTTTGTTTTCTGGAATTCATGACATACTATAGTTTTGAAATACAAGAAAGATTAATTTGTCAATTGTAAACCCATTACATTACACAGATAATAAGTTGATACATTATACATTCTTATGGAGGCAAAATTGATGTCTCTGAATTCTTAACCTTTCTTGCATTGATGAAATTGTTTCTCTTGCACATTTAATTGAACAGGCTTCAATGATTTGAATGAATCAAAAAACTCGTTGCATTGGTCAGCAATTCTCTGTTGCAGACGGTATCTAATCTAATGTACTAAAAATAGGCTACTTAAGAGGACTAAAGTTCAAGCAAGAAAACAATGAAGAAAATATAACAGAAATTTGGTTTAATTTCCTTGGTCTGCAAGCTAATCCCTTTTCTCCAGTCACTAAATATGCACCAATCTCAACTGCTAAATCATCCGCCCTAGCATTGTTTCATTCCCACTTCCTTAGATTCACAAACCATCTGGTCTCTGCTTTTCCTTAAATTAGTTGACAACAAATTCACCAGCAATGCCTTTTCCTTTCAGCTGTTTACAGTTATTTTCAAAGGTCCCTGATGAATGATGCAGCACGAGTTACCTCTGCGAAAGAGCACTCATCTTCAGCCAAGCACAAAAGCAAATCAAAATCTCTGAGGGTGCTCCAATAGTAGTATCCAACCTAACATTGTCCAACTGCCTTTAGTTTATCATTTCCCTTAAGAATTGAAAAACATTCATCACCATTCATCAGTCACCTTATTAACTTCTTCCATTTTTCTTATTTCCAGTTTGGGCTTTATGAATGGGCATGTCAAACTTTGTGCACCCCAAATAGTGAAATAGTGGACTAGTCACATCAAATACCTTTAGACTAAAATGTATCAATTCTGAACAGAGCATTAGAGGCAACGGAACTTTACCACTTAATCTTTGCTATCAAGAATTACACTAATCAAAAGTTCAAAACAGATGATCTTGGATGCACTTGGGCCTCGTGACCCGATGGTTGTAAGCCACGTTGAAAGTGCTTGGGCTGGGGTTCGAATCCCCCCACCCCCAACGTAATTTGTTCAACAAAAAGAAAAAAAAAAAAAAAGAAGATGATCTTGGATATCAAAATTACCTTTTTGTCTGTCAGTTTTGACAGCGTTTATTTTGCCTCAACCATAGATGATGCATCCTTTAGAGAATGTGGCCACAATGGTGAAAGTGCGACAACATTCCCAATGATAATTAGTGTTGGTGATACCAACCCTGCAACTGAGATTTTATCAGCAAGATCTTTTAGTTCTGAGAAGACCTACATAAAAGCCAAAAAAAGAAAAAAAAAAAAATGATGAGTTTCAAAAACTAATGCACCTCCTGAAGTTATGAAAAGAATATAATTAAGTGAACTTGGTTAAAGCGTTGTCGCCTAATTGAAAGTGACGCATTTAATGGATACTTACCATGCGTTGCTGAGGTGTGGTTCCGCGCTGAACTGCAACAGCAGGTGTTACTGGTGATAGACCATGATGCATCAACTTTAGTGCAAGTGAAGGGAGTGTTGATAAGCCCATATAAACCACTAAGGTTGAATCAGGATCTGCAGCATTTTCTGCAATGAACAAAGGATCTGTTCCTCCTTTTCTTGAGTGACCAGTTAGAAATCTAACACTATTTGCCACACCCCTGTGAGTTAAAGGAACTCCAAGCTCTGCTGCTATCCCTGAAGCAGCTGTGATACCTGCAAAGTAATGAGCATTGTTGTGAGACTATCTTTTTGAGTAAACAATCAAGTCAGCAGATATCAAACAGGTGTGTGCATGGTAAAGCTAGTACCTACAACATAAGAGTAGAAAAACTAACAGAAGTCAAGGAAGTGAAATTTGAAACACATTTCAAAGGTAAATGCCAGCATCTACTTTCTCAAGCCGACCTACCACCCCCACCCCCTCCCCCCCAAAAAAAAAAATTTTTTTGGAGATAAAATGTAAAGCTTCATTGATTTAAACTAAACAGAAAGCAGGTCAAGCATAATAGGCTGCTACTATCAATACCAATAAGCAGAACCCTCTTAACTACTTGCCTTAGCCACTGTATTGTGCAGATGACTTATAACATTGAAATGTGTTCCCCAGCCATTCAATGTGCAAGATAAAATTAAATTTGTGCTTCCTAAATTCTCAATAATTTTTTTAGGAGAAGATTAGTCTACACTATCAAATACCTGGGATAACCTTCACTTGAATCCCTTGTTGTTGCAAAAAGTCCATTTCTTCTCCACCCCTTCCAAACACCTAAAATAGCCCAAAGTATGATTCATAAAAGCTGCAACAAGAAGCGCACTCCAATACATAATATATTTCTAACTCTTCAGAATGAACACTCACCAGAGGATCCCCTCCTTTGAGTCTAACTACCGTAGCTCCAGCTTCAGCAAAACTCAAAAGCAATTCATGTATCTCCTCCTGCAAAATAATACCGCAAAAAGAGTGATTCATTTTCCTAAACCCATTGGTGCAAACACATCATAAGTTCATCTAAAACTCAACCAGAAAGTTGAAAACTCAAAATCTAGTTTTTAAACCACCCTAAAAAACATTACATTTACTAATAAAATTGGCTTCAACGCAGAGTCCCATTTGAAAAATCAAGGGAAAATCAATTATCCAATTCACAAGAACATGAAATTCAAGTAAACAAAAACGGCAGTAACATGAAGCGAAACGTTTAAACCCCAATTCATATGAACTTCAGGAACTTCACAGAAAAATAAAAAAAATACAAATGTACATTATTTACCTGGGTTCTGCTGTGATATCCAGCAGTTTTACCAACATAGAGAAGCCTAGCATCAGGACCAACCAAATCCAACACATCATTAGACACCAACCTATCATACAATAAAAGATCAGCTTTCTGAATAACTTTAAGTGCTTTCAATGTCAACAAATCCGGATCCCCTGGCCCTGTCCCCACCAAAAACACATTCCCCGGCCCACACTTGCCCCCATCACCACCATCCTCACAACCCTGCCTCTTCTCCCTCAATACCTGTAGCAAGCTATTTAGCTCAGGAAGCTGCAAAGCAATGTCATTTTCCCTTATAAAATCAGGGTCAGGAGGCGTAGAGCAGGAGAAGACATGGGAATGGTCAGGTTGTTGGTTCTTGTAGAACCACTGGTCTCTCTGGTACCTCTCTATGGAGTGCTTCTCCGTAAATGGGGAAGAAGGGGATGAATTGTAACCTATGGAGCAAACGGGTAAAAACTTGGGTTTGTGCAAATGGGGTGAAGATTTGCGATAGGAGAGGGAAAGCTTGTGCGCAAGAGCAGCCATTTGGATGTTGTATGAGAAGCTAAACAGAGGGATTCAAGTTTGTAGCTGCTCACTAAGAGAGGGAGATATGGAGATGAGAATTGAAGAAAGAACTTTTGGGGAAGATGAGAAGCCAAAAAAAAGGCAGTGGCTTTATGCGATGGGTGAGAGGCGGCGGTGGACGCCTCTTTGGGGACTTCCATGGGTATTCCGTTTTTTAGGCAAAAAGGGAAAATCAGCCCCTGTACTCTACGTTGGGTGGCATATCAATCCTTCAGCCGAAAACGGAAGGCTTTAAACCCTCAAACTCTTGGAATGGTTGCAAATCACCCCTTATCTGACAAATGGCGTGAGCAAAATCCGGTTAACTCAAACGAAGCATTGATTTTGGGCAGCAGGATAATTTTTTAACATAATTTTTATATATTATTTAAAAAATAAATATATTTAATGTTATGAATTTTAAATAAATAAAAAAAATTAATTATTTAATTGATACAAAAGATTACGGTACAAGATAATATAAAAAAAATATTTTAAAATTATTTTCGGTTGATTTTCGCTGACCTGCGTTGAGGTTATTAATTTCTTTTCTTTTTGCGGAGCCACTAGGCTGAGATGCCACACTACGTTGCAAACCATTGAATTGTCTAAAATTATTTCTAAATGCCCTTGTATGTTCAGAGGATAATTTTTTCCTCATTCACTTACTGACGGACTTGCCTTCCACGTTCAAGCACAATTTTTTGCAACATTGAAATTGTTTTCTCCTTGGAATTTAAATATTTTAATAAAAAATAAAATAATATATTTTATAAATTAAATTTATTATTCTATTAAAAATTTGATCAAATTAATTATTATAGATTAATTGTCCTATTTAGAGGTACATTGTTACATAATAATTATTCAATTTATTTTTATCATTATCTTACAAATAGAAATTATATTACTATAAGTCTTGTAAATAAGATATGTCATTTTGGTCAACAATGGAGAAGTTCCTCCACATTCTTCTATTTTTTTCTTTACTTTATCTTTTAAATATTTTTGGGGGAAAGAATGATGTTTTGAATTAGATGACTTTATGAGTAGTGTAGATTTATAAAATATTATTATAAAACTGTAGTATCTTTGGAATGACATTCTATGTATATCTCTGCTGCACCGGTTGATTTACTCTTTGTAAAGGTGTGAAAAGCTTAGCTTTACAATAGGTAAGTTTTTTATGCCTATTTTGATTATATTTTTTTATTAATATTTTTATAATAAGTTTACTAATTATTATATTATTTAATTTTGTGACCAAAACACAACAATAATATGACATGGTGATGGAGAAAAATGTTCGAGAAACAACATTTCTTACCTTGTTAGTTGTCACAGGAAAGGACAATAAAAAGTTACAAAAAATCATATCTAGAATTACTATACAGAATTTGAAGGGAAAATTGTAAAATGAAAATGATGAAATAAAAATCAAAATTAAAATAAAAATACATTTTAGTGCAAATTGTACCTTTTTTTATACTTTTTGATTACTAAAATGATTAAAAAACTTTTAATAAAGTTACCTTCATGTTTATAGATTAATAATATTTTTCATAATTTTAGTATTCAAATTATAAAAAAAATCAATTCATTTTATAAAGACACTTTTCTCAACTGAAATTTATACGAAATGTTTCAAAAACTTAAAACAAAACTAAAAGTTTTGTGAGAATATTTTACTTAAAACTCTCTTATCACTGGTTCTCTTGCCTTCCATCCCTTCCATAAGCTCGTAATGAGCGTGGTCAAAATTCATTGATCATTGCCCAATGATTTGCTATTAAATCGATGGAATACAAAAAAAGTCTATTTAAAATAAAAGAATTAGAGTAGAGTGGAAAAATCCAAGTTAAGCGGAATACCAACCAAAAAAAGAAAGTAAAACCCTTGATTATTTTTTCTTCAAAATCTCTTTCAGGTTCTTGAAGTGAGTTACCTAAATTGTCCCTTTGAATTTGAAGAAAAATTCAAAGACCTGCACCCAAGGGGTGATTTGCAACCATTTGAAAAGTTTGAGTGTTTAAAAGCTTTTATTTTTAGTTAAAGGGCTAATATGCCACCAAATAAAGAATACAGCGGCTAATTTTCTCCTTTGCCCTTTCATTTTAGGTCTTGTTTTTTGAGGGTATTATATTCTGACAAGTGTTAGGCGGACACGTGTCAAGAATTCATTGGTGTTGGCTATTAGAAAAAAAGAGAAAGTTGTCAGCTGACCAGTCAAGAGTAAGTCTCCCATCCCAGTAAAAAGAAAAAGGGTTTACTTCAACTTTCCAGAGTTGGAGTTGGAGAGGAATTTGTTTGTTAATTCGGTGCCATTTCCCGACCGTGTTCATTGTGACCTGTTTTCATAAAATTGCATTTTCTCGAAGGGGTAACCTTAAAATTTAAAAACAGTCTGTTACTCAACAAGAATGTTGTAGTATCAGGGCGTCCATTAGGAGCTTGAAAGGCATTGCAACTATTAGGCTCAAGACGGGATGATTTTAGAACCATCTTCTGATGGCAATGCATTTCGTCACAAAAAGAGAAGCGTTTTTTTTTTTTTTTAATCTCTTGTTGTAGATTATGGTGGTTGCAGCACCATTGGTAGGGAAAACCCTGTCAAAAACTGTTGCCTCTCTTGGTGAGGCTAGTAGCTTTAACTACTTAATTTAGATCCTTTCAATTGAAACACACGGATGAAGTAATCCACATCTGCTGCCAGTTGTCCTGGACATTGATCCCTCCTTCTCAAAACAACTGCTTAAGGTGTATATTGGTGGATGCCAAGTTGATCCCTTCAACCAGGTTAAGAATTTTGCTGACTGAATTATAGACAAATTAGATTGAATCTCTTGTTTTGGTTAAGAGTTATTGGGAAAAATAGCACAGTGAAATAAAATAGTTCTTGTGAACAAAGCATGTGAACAATAATAAAAAATGATAAGACAAGTGGCTTTCTCGGCCAATGTTAATGGTTAGTGATAAAGGTGGTTTAACTAGCCAAGCAAAATAAAATTGACAGTTTAACTAGTCACTTAAGAAGAAAAAAACAAGTGGAATAAAATAAGCAATTTAACCAACCACTTAAAGAGGAAAAATAAATAATAAAACAACACTAAATTTTATGTGGAAAAACCTTTAAAAACTATTAAGGGAAAAAAACACAAGACAAACTTCAAAAGATATTTTATTATGTGATAAAATAATACAAAGTATATATTCAAGTCTTTTTCTCTCTTGGTGTTTCCCACTCCTCCAAGACACGATCACAATTCTGATAAACTCACAATTTTACTCTCTTTGTGGAGCACACTTACACCTAAGTTTAATGCCTAGCTCTCATCCTTTTTTTTTTTCACCCAAGCCCTCTCTTTAGAACTCACTTTGCTTACT